GCTCAGAATGAAACAGGAACTTGTAGGAATAGGAATAGTTTTACTTCCTTAAAGGACTCTCTGCTAAATATTTTTAACATTAGGGATTTTGTTAACCGTATTTTGAAGGATGAACAGAAGCAGAAGTTAAAGAGCATTATTTTAGGATTTCGGGAAGTTTTTTCTGCTGAGAAGTTTTCATTGCCAGCCCTCAAAATAGATTCCCCTAAAATATTACTTAAGGACAAAAGGCCCGTAGCCTTCAAACCTTACAGAGCATCTTACCGTGATAGATAAGAGATTGATAGACAGGTGGAACTATTCATAAAATCGGGATTAATTGAACCATCGTCGTCCCCGCACGGTGCCTCAGTCACGTTAGTAAAGAGTTGAGGGAAAAACTAGACTATGAATGGATTATAGGAAGTTAAACGAGATGATTAAAACTAACAATGAACCTATTCCCAGAATAGATGAGCTGTGAGATAGACTTATAGGTGCGAAAATATTTTCTACTGTAGACGTTCTGTTAGCCTATTGGCAGGTTCCTCTTCATTCTGAAGACAAAGAACTAACTACCCTTTGTAACGAATTCTGGTCACTTCCAGTGGAATCGTTTGCCATTTGGCCTAAAGACTTCACCCCATAATATAACAGTATTCCCTCCAATGTTTTTGATGTACGGAGAAATTTCCGATTCACCTGACAACTTAAATTATCCCTCTCTCAGCGTAAGATTACCACCGAAAGAAACAGAGATAAATATAATAGTCAACATCAAACACCAAACTTCAAAGTAGGAGATCAAATAATATCACAAACCTTTTTCCATCCCGACCAAGGCAAACTTGCTCCCAAGTATCACGGACCTTTCACCACATTAAAAATAGTATCTCCTTGTAACGTAGAAATAGATAGACCTGTCCAATCACTAAATAAATTAACTGATATTGTAAATGTAGATAAAATCATACCGTATTATAATCCAATTTTTCTCCAGTGAAATATAACTTAAATTAAGGAACAACCACAGAGCAGACGGCCCGTCGGGAAATTTCAGATTTCCCTATGGGCCAGTCAAACACTGTTCTATAGTTAATACTATCAAATACTCAAAAGTTAATTAATTCAATCGATTTGGCTTTGATTAGCAAATACAATACTTGTTAACTGAATCGCAGTAAATTATTAGGTAAATATCCGTGGAAATAACGAAAAAGCAATTATTTATTGGGCAGTACAAATACTTTTATATTGTATATAAAGCATTGATAAATCAGCGTGATGACAATAGAAAGCCAATAGTAAAGGAATTACTATTTTAATGGTCTCATATGGAAACCAGATGGCAGGTGAGGGAGTAATAAACTTATATATGTTTTTAATACAGGTTTTAAAACCTTTTAATATGTTATATCTCAAAGTTATAAGTTGTTTTCTATCCTACTGATAAAGTGCTTTTAGGTAATACGAACTGTTAGTAGAATTTTCAATGTTTTCTAAAACTTTTCGGTGCAATACCCTAACTATCAATACCATAGTTTAATTTCGGATGACAAAGATTTATGTATAAATATGTCATAATAATATGTTTAATCTGTCTGATGGCATTAATGAATTTAGATATAACTATGCATAATTTATCGATCTGTTTATTCCAGTTTATTCCGGTCAACAAAATGTATATAATCTTCGACAGTAATTTATATTATTGCATAAGTCGTGTTGAGATTTATTACCACGTGAATTCCAGTTAAATGTTTATACATATCTGATAACAGTACGTTAGTTTGATTAACATTTATATTAAATCCTTTCTGCAATTGTTACATTTGAATAACGATGTTCCATTTTTGTAATTTTAGGGGCATAACAGCGATTATTTATTGTGACAAAGTCACAATGCCCCTGTACACCCCTGTACATCTTGTATCTTGCCCATGTACACCATACTTTCCCTTTAACAACAGTTAATACGGTAATCTATCAACTGTTTTCAGAGAAAACTTTGAATTGAAAGAACGTAACTTCAGGTGCAAACCGGAAGTTTATGTATAGTCGATCGTATTTGTTTCTCGAGATTAATGAAAGACAGACGGACAGAAAAACGGACGACAGTGGGAATTTATCGTTTTAGTTATATCCATTGAGACTGAGATAGCAAAATTCGAGTTGACCAACTGCATTATTCTAAGCCATACAAATTAAAACCAAATTTGATTTAAACTAAATAAATTGAATATCCGTATGTTTAATAAGGTTACTCTGGTCAGTAATCAATCGCAAGTTACTATTTAAAATATAGATTAATGTAATAAATTTAACCTTGTCACTCGTCTAAAGAATAAGCCACGCTCGTTGCACTAATTACTTTGACTTGGCAGAGAGTTATCTACCGGACAGTTAACACGAATAATTCTTATTCTGCAATAAACGAGACGGTGGAGCGAAAAATGAATAACCGAAAGCGTAGAATGGACGTTAAAACTTTTCAGTTAAATCAGAATTTTTGAAGAAAAGATTGGTTTTAAGGTCTAATGTCTCGAATGCTGTTGCTTTTTGGAAATGAGAAAGAATGCTATTGAAAGTTTTTCTAATACTTTAACACCGGCTTTTATAATGTAAGAATATTGGAGTTATTAGTGAACCTGTAAAGTTGGTTGGAAAGGTTGTGATTACGGAGAGATGGTTATGAAGATACAAGATCGTAAAATAGGCACGAATCTACGAAATAACTTTTAACCACCCGAAATCGGCCGGTTAAATTATTCAGCAGTTAATCCCAACAACTCTGAACATTGGCAATTAGTCGTAGATTCGTGCCTCAGCTACGTGGAGTTTAACGGGTTTTCTTCACGCTTGTAACATATAAAGAGTAGGGTGGAGCTAATTTTCACAATTTGTAAATGTGAACCTCCTATCCTCTATTTCCGTTTCAATATATATAGAAAACATTCGTGCCAAAAATCTACTCCATTAGTGAATATTTACTGGTAGCTCAATGTCACTGAAGTTTTATAGGTTCCAAATAGTAAGGATGAGCATATGGCAATCACAAGCTTCATCACAAGCATAATTTCTGTCATGACTCGTGATCTTTATTATACAGACATCATCAAATCTTGCTGCAAATGTTTTTCCTTGTTTCTGGTTGAGGCTGACTCAGTGACTCATACTGCTTACATCAGCACTTATTATCTATTTGGTTTGTATGAACAAGTTCAGGCACGTCGCTGAAGGACTGCTGATATCATCAGATTCGTAGACTATATAATTCAGAATCTGCTCAAGCAAATCACATAATACATATTTGTTCATTTCGGCAAAGTTGAACAGATGCTAAATAGAAAACGTAGAATGGCAGGGTTGAAGAGAAGTGGTGAAGAAATAGCAGAACTAATATCCTCAAGCATCAGCACAGATACTGAAGAAGATGCAAACTGTAAGGGAGACAGAGTAACTAGTGAAGGAGCAGTTGGAGGCAGATTATCCAGACAGTAAGAAAAAGTCACCTTCTGCCTCTACCAAAATAAACTGATAAAGTTACATTGAATGTAGTACTGAAAATTTCATACATTGACAAATGAACATGGTACATTTGAACATGATTCATGGTACTGTACACTGATACAATTAAACAGCTGTCAATAACTCTTGCCACCGTGAGACCAGCGAAACATGCGTTTTGGAAAATGGCGACTGACAGGTCTAAAGTACTATCGCCTTCGGTAGATACATTTTCTCGTTGTTATTTTAAAATAGTCGATTTATTTAACGAGTCAATTACAGTCGACCCCTCTATAACACGGTAGATACGTTCCGTTCTTTATGAATCNTTGATTCGCTTGGTTTTTCCTCACCTTCTCTTTTGTTTTGGATTTCTCTCATCTCCATAAACGGCGCCAAACACCTAATTAGAAGCCGATTTCCTATAGAAAATCATCCGAAGGGGTAGTTTTCCGTGCATTATCTCATCTAATTATTAGTGTTTGTGTAATTTCATTGAACTATTTTTTTTTTGTTTTGTTTAAAGAAAACCCGAAAAACTCCAAGCTGCCAGCCTGTCCAATCGAGGCGGGAACCCACAACCGAATTCCCAGTGTTCAGGGAATAGAACCGCTTGGCTTGGTGAGCATGGATAATTTTGGAACGAAAATTTTTTTGCAAAATTTTTTACCGCATCCTTTGAATAGAGTGTACACAAATTTTGGTGTTAGCCAGCTTATTGGCTAGAACTACAGAGTTTTCTGAATAGAACAACTGAAATTAAGGCCACCCTGTACTTTTACTACAAAGCAGACAAAAATACCCCATTCCGTACATAACATTTATACATTTCTAGCGAGAAATCTTTTCCTATTACTTTTATTTGTAGTTATTATTTGTCTATAAATATAGCAACCATATCAAAGAAGATGTTGCATCTTGAACATTTTGTTATTTATAAAAGTAGTATTAACTTAAAACTGGAAATTTCATGTTTAGGATGTTACTCAACATAATCATTGTCAAAAATTGAATATCAAACTCAGCTTCTTTTAAAACATTTAATAAAACATTTAACACCTTATAACGCTGAGAAATATTTATTAAAACACAAACGTTTTCAGCCTAATGGAATAGGCCATCATCAGGTGACAGGCTATTGAACAACTTTGAAAATTGCATTNGTTAGTCAATGGTATGCGTAATCTAAAAATATGTAAATTTGTTAAAATTAATTTTCCAATTCTAAAAATCGGATGTGATTTTAAGTTAATGTTTATATAATTCTGCTTAACGAAAATGAATTGTTAAATAAATTTAAAATTAAAACATTTTTTTTCCTTCATTTATATATTTTATACAATAAAAAGACAATCAACAAGAAATAAAGATGTCGCGAAATTGGATCGGAAATGGCTTTTGGGAAATAACTTCCGAATCCGGAAGACATGAATTTACACCAAAAAAAAATGTGACCAGCAGAAATTATTTACCAAAGAGGTATATATATATATGTATATATGTATATATACAGATTAGACATGCGAATCTTTAGGCGTGGTCACTTGATTGCGAACACCGTTGTAACCCGTTCTCCATACTACGTGACAACTTTTCTTGCTCTCCGTGCTCCTGTTTTTAGCTGGCGAATTACGCTGACTAGAAGCTCTCTGGAAGGACGATAATCGAAGACTCCAATTGGCTGCGGCGAAGTAACTGGTATAAGTATTGTAACGTCCCAATCGGGTTTCGCTAGAGGAAGTTTTGCAACAGTTTCCAAAGCCGACGGTGCGAGCCACCTGTTTGAATGCTTCCCTGAATTTCGAGTTCATCCAACAATATATCAATGGATTATAAGTGGCGTGGCTCATGGCCAACCAATGACAGACGAACCAGATATAAATAATGTGGCTGTATTCCCAAATGGCATCATTCTGGTCACCCGCCACGATTAAGATGTTCAGGGGTAACCAAGAGAACATGAACACAGAAACCACAGTTATCATCATCTTTACCATCTACAATAGATAAATACTGTTAATATGTTGTAATTATTACTAGACATAGATTAAAACCGAAAAGTAAAGTATTAAAATAAAGCGTTTTGAAACTACTTATAGACTAAATTTTCTTTTTGATTTGTTTATTATTACATAATGTAATAACAGAAAAATTAGTTGTTATTATTTTATAAGAAAATATTTAAATGGGAAGTATTTTCTGATTTCATTTTGCTCTAAATAATAAAGATTAATTTCTATCTTAAATATTCTATGAAAATACCAGACAGGTATTAACTAGAGACGGCGCTTAAACATAGAAAGATAGAGGGTAAAGAGTGCAAGGAAAGAAAGGGAAAAACCTGAAGATTTATACGTGGATATTTGTGGGAGGTGCCACCTGGAAGGAAGGTCGTGCGGAGGTCGGCGAGGAAACCACTGCCCGATGGTATTTACTGGCGGCGGCGCTGGTTCCGACGATGCCCGTCACCTGTACGAACTGCGGAAGGTAATCGGGAGGAGGAGGACGACGACTGACACACGGTAAGAAACGAAGAGCGTAGCGAAACCCCATGCGGAACTTGGTATTCATCCAGCAATATATAAAAGGATTATAACAGGCGTGGCTCATTGCAAGCCAGTGACAGGCGAACCAGACGTACACGATGCCGGAAAGAGTGTAGATCTGAGGATACTGGTCCCCTATCACCACCAGGGTATTCAAAGGTAACCAACACAGGGTAAAGGCGGTGACACACGTGATCATCATTTTGATCATCTACAGGATAAAAGAGGGAAACAAGAAAGAGAAATAATGATCACATTTACACAAATGAACACAAACTGCGGAAGATCGTAGCTTTTTCGCTTTTCTACCAATATACATAGAATACTCGATTAGATTCACAATATTCTTTTTGTAAACCTTAAGATAATTAAAAACTTCGTTTTTGTTTAACGTATAGAAGCTTAATAAAGACATTTTTCATTTCAATTAATGATCTTCACCGTTTATCACTATGCGCGACGTTATTACCCGTTTATCACTACGTATGATTATCCAAAACTTGAATACAAATGGGCTAAAATGTATATTATTTACTAATGTATGCTTTTAACTTATAAAAACGGTGAAAATTTCGATTAAAATTATTTTAAAACGTGACTTTAATACGAGTGATAATATACATTACGAAATTCGTTATCACTCGAGGAATTCTGTAGACTAAGATAACTGGAATACACTGCAATCCGATACAAAATACCCGCCGTTCAGTTGTAGTAGTATTCAATCCTCTGTTTTATTATAGTCTGAAACATCCGAATCTCTTCTTAGGATTTATCATTTTGATGGACAAACTATGATTTTACCAAAAAAATTGCCTCTTTTAATGCCCTACGAGAAGAATATTGTCAATTATTGGCGAGATATATTGTCTCTTTTACCCAAAGACAAATGGCATAAAAAATCGTTAAGAAGAAAAATCGCGTGGACAAAAAGAACTCGCCAAAATAGAGTAAGACGAAGTCATTCTTAGCAAAACTCACGAAATCATAAGGTTTTTATAAGCAGTATTCCAGTTGTTTTTGACGCGATCTACCCACTTTTACCTCATGGATTTGGATAATTTGAAATCACTAAAAAAATAATTTGAATATTTGATAAGAAAATTAAATAAATTAATGTTATGTTAAAGTTGAAAAAAAATTTTATACCAGTCGACCCCCCTATAACACTGTTGATTTTTCCGTTTTATATGAATTTCATGTTGTACGAGTCACTTAGATTTTACAAATACGTGTGTTGGGTGTGAACAGCTCATGTATTTATAAAATCTAAGTGACTCGTACAACATGGAATTCATATAAAACGGAAAAATCAACAGTGTTATAGGGGGGATCGACTGGTATTGGATAAATATTAACAGTAAACATCGAGTTTGAAAAGTTAGTCAATGGTATGCGTAATCTAAAAATATGTAAATTTGTTAAAATTAATTTTCCAATTCTAAAAATCGGATGTGATTTTAAGTTAATGTTTATATAATTCTGCTTAACGAAAATGAATTGTTAAATAAATTTAAAATTAAAACATTTTTTTTCCTTCATTTATATATTTTATACAATAAAAAGACAATCAACAAGAAATAAAGATGTCGCGAAATTGGATCGGAAATGGCTTTTGGGAAATAACTTCCGAATCCGGAAGACATGAATTTACACCAAAAAAAAAAATGTGACCAGCAGAAATTATTTACCAAAGAGGTATATATATATATGTATATATGTATATATACAGATTAGACATGCGAATCTTTAGGCGTGGTCACTTGATTGCGAACACCGTTGTAACCCGTTCTCCATACTACGTGACAACTTTTCTTGCTCTCCGTGCTCCTGTTTTTAGCTGGCGAATTACGCTGACTAGAAGCTCTCTGGAAGGACGATAATCGAAGACTCCAATTGGCTGCGGCGAAGTAACTGGTATAAGTATTGTAACGTCCCAATCGGGTTTCGCTAGAGGAAGTTTTGCAACAGTTTCCAAAGCCGACGGTGCGAGCCACCTGTTTGAATGCTTCCCTGAATTTCGAGTTCATCCAACAATATATCAATGGATTATAAGTGGCGTGGCTCATGGCCAACCAATGACAGACGAACCAGATATAAATAATGTGGCTGTATTCCCAAATGGCATCATTCTGGTCACCCGCCACGATTAAGATGTTCAGGGGTAACCAAGAGAACATGAACACAGAAACCACAGTTATCATCATCTTTACCATCTACAATAGATAAATACTGTTAATATGTTGTAATTATTACTAGACATAGATTAAAACCGAAAAGTAAAGTATTAAAATAAAGCGTTTTGAAACTACTTATAGACTAAATTTTCTTTTTGATTTGTTTATTATTACATAATGTAATAAGAGAAAAATTAGTTGTTATTATTTTATAAGAAAATATTTAAATGGGAAGTATTTTCTGATTTCATTTTGCTCTAAATAATAAAGATTAATTTCTATCTTAAATATTCTATGAAAATACCAGACAGGTATTAACTAGAGACGGCGCTTAAACATAGAAAGATAGAGGGTAAAGAGTGCAAGGAAAGAAAGGGAAAAACCTGAAGATTTATACGTGGATATTTGTGGGAGGTGCCACCTGGAAGGAAGGTCGTGCGGAGGTCGGCGAGGAAACCACTGCCCGATGGTATTTACTGGCGGCGGCGCTGGTTCCGACGATGCCCGTCACCTGTACGAACTGCGGAAGGTAATCGGGAGGAGGAGGACGACGACTGACACACGGTAAGAAACGAAGAGCGTAGCGAAACCCCATGCGGAACTTGGTATTCATCCAGCAATATATAAAAGGATTATAACAGGCGTGGCTCATTGCAAGCCAGTGACAGGCGAACCAGACGTACACGATGCCGGAAAGAGTGTAGATCTGAGGATACTGGTCCCCTATCACCACCAGGGTATTCAAAGGTAACCAACACAGGGTAAAGGCGGTGACACACGTGATCATCATTTTGATCATCTACAGGATAAAAGAGGGAAACAAGAAAGAGAAATAATGATCACATTTACACAAATGAACACAAACTGCGGAAGATCGTAGCTTTTTCGCTTTTCTACCAACGAAAAAGCAACAAGAGACGTTAAATCGAACGTATATAAGAGCAATCTTAGGCTATCCGAATTTATATAATTGAAAAGGAGGGGAATCGAGAATCCGAATAGCCTCGAAAATCATTAAACGGAGTGTTAAACACGGCAGAGTAAATAACTCGAGTTAATTACATCGGACATTATTATTAGTGAATCGAGACTCGGGGCAAATACCGAAAGTTTCAAACTCTTCCTTCCTTTTGCGCTTATTCGGAGCGCTAATCCGTTTGATTCGCAGTCGAGTTCAGTTTATTTCGAGTAGAAGTCCTCTATTCATTACCTGCATAAATGCCTTAGGCACAGGCAACAACAAGAATAACTTTTTCAAAATTATTCATCAACCGATCTCATATTTTAAGATATTCATTCATTTCTTGTTCGATTCAACTTGCTAGCAGAATATCCAGTCCAGCGACTAAATATTCTTTATTTTCGTCACCCTAACAGAAGGCAACTTAGTATCGCTTAGAAATATTTACGTTGTATACTTTGTAATTAAAAATACACTGAAAATACTATAATTTTATCGGAATATAATTACGCACTTTGCATTTAGAGTGACCTTTAATGTAAATTGAATTTGGTATAATGCAATTCTTAAAATTTCATTTCGGTTTACTCTTAATAGAAGAACAAAGAATAAGAGTTTAAACAGAAAAATTTTAAAGCCGTTATCTCTTATAATTTACATAATTTTATATTTGTTGTAGTTGTACCTTTTGGAAAACTATTGATAAATAGATAAAGTTCCTTTTATAATTCATTGTCAATAAAAGCAGTGAAGCAAAATTAATTCTATTTTCGATTGATCTTTGTAGGTTCATAATATTTCTTTTTCTTAATTTTAATTATTCCAGTTCAAATAGTAGAATATTTAATCAACAAATTTTAATTTAGAATTTTATTGACGTCATTAAATATCCCTGTAAAAATTATAAATTGCCAATTTTCCAGACAACAAAAGATTCTTATTATATAGAATTGTGAATTAATTTAATTTTTCCTTTACCGTTGCATCACAAAAATTTAATATAATCGATTCCCCTAATAAACAAAACCCCCTGCAAAGGAGTTATTAAGCTTCAAACAGGGTAAACAAAACGTGCCTTCCACACACATATACATACATACATAAATACAGAAATTACCCCCGAATTCTTTTGCATTTCTCCGAGTATCGAGGTGACCTAAGCCTATAAATATAAAAATTTGGAGGGGGTCGGATCGTCGTATTTTTTCCTCTGTTATAACAGTAAAAGTAAAGTAACGCAGATCTAAAGAAATCAAAACGTAAACACAGCAAAGACTTAATTTTTATGCTGTTTACCCGCACACACTCTTGACTTTTACGATTTTAATGAAGTTTTTTTTTCTTTTAACTTTCGAATTACAATACTAGAGAACTTAACACCTTACGTAAAGCACTTTAGGAAATGGAGAAACCATTTTGCAGACAGTCAGGAAGTAAGGATCGATAAAAGAAATGAAAAGGGTAAATGATACAAGAAATTTCACTTTTTCCAAAGTAAAATAAGCTTTTAACAGATGAACAGAACAATTAATTTAATATTTTGATGTAAACTGTATTGCATGTTTTATTAGAAGTTGTACTTTATATATAATGCATAAGTTGGTAAGTTTCTCCTTGATATTTCTACTATATAATAGTATACATATTATACATACATTCTACTATATTTATAATAGAAATTTCAAGGAAAATCTTGCATTATTATAGGATCAAAAAAAAGTCTACGTTGTGTCAGATGTGTAGAATCAAAAGACACCTTATTGGCTTTTTTTTTACAGTTAGATGGTAACACACTACGTACAATCATAACATAAAAATAGAAACTAGATTACTTTATAGCATCCTATACTATGAAATATCCTAGCTTATATTTGATTCTTACATAGATAAAAGGATAAAAGATTAAAGAATCACAAATTCGATAGAGAATCAATATGACTGAAATACGTTTGGAAGTTAACTGTTCTCTCTTTGAAATGAGAGGAAGATTTTGTGTTTAAACATTCCCTTGATGCACTTAAAGTTAAAATAAACGTTCATTAATAAATCGCTCTAGCTCTAAAATATTGAAATGACGATTATAGGCTATTCTGTTACCTGGTTTCTGATTGGTCAGTAGAGAAGGATTTTTAAAAATATATTCCACGATTGTTCTTGAATTGTCAATAGAAAATTCACTATTTTTAAGGTGATGAATTTGCACGGACTCTGGGAATCTTGAAGTTGATCTCGGAATCAGCGGTCAATTATATAACATACAAGGAGTATCAGTGTATCACTGCATAATGTGAATGAAATGTAGGGAAGGTTTGGGATAGAGCTCTTTTATTTAACGACGCTTGATATTTAAATGGAAAATTTGCATATTCATTTCACAGATAACCTGAAATGAACTGCATATTCAACCACTTCTACATTGCGTTCTATTACGCAGTATTGCAACACCTGCGTTATGGTGTAAAATATTTACATGTTGTATTTGGCTGCCTGTTCTGGTATCCCACTATATATTTCAGAATGCACTAAAATAATGTTTAAAGTAATGTTTAATTACAACTGCGATCTATTCCGTGGCTTTAATTTTCCGCATAGTTACACTCTAGTACCTTACGGGAAGCATGGAATACCATAATACTTGGATCCCTAATTCCTCTTTGATTTCATCCCCAACCAACCACTTTAAAACTTAGATCCTCACTCCTTCTCCTGATTTCATTCCCCACAAGTTGTCAAATTCTTTCAATGATTTACACCAAATTTTGCATAGTTACTATCTGCCACCCGGTAGGAAACATATGTCACCCTATAACGAGGACAACTTAACCCTCTTTTATGCTCGCCGGTGATCTCGTATTATGTAATTTTCCTATTCGAATGCCACCATTTAGTGGGTTCGATAGGAAAAAAGGCTGTTGCAGATGTCGGTTGAAGTTAATTCGACCAAAAGTAATAATTATCCTCCTCCCTAGAGAGAGGATGGTCAACGACTACTACTTAATACTGGTCTATTATTAATATTTGAAAAGTGATCCGTGATAGACAGGTTGTGATGTCCCGCTTCTGATCGAAGTTGCTAACTTTAACGTCCGAAAGACTTCATATAAAACTTGTTTAAATGAAAAGAAATTTTGTAAAAATGCGAGAATAATTGCGTTTATGTTCGTATTTTCTCAACAGATTTTATAAACTACGTAAGACGTAAATATCGCGTTTATAAGAAAATTATTCGACTTCAATTTGAAAAAACTATAGACCTGTTACTTCAATTTAAAAGTTTCTCCCCAACGGAATTAGATAGATGATGGACACGACTCTATTGCTAACAGGAAAAATATGACTTACAGGGACAAGACAACCACTAAAAGAAAAGTACATTTAAAAAAAATACAGTTTGGCATTCTGTCACAATAAATAATCGCTCGGTTTGTTTGATTACTGCCAAGAGGAATGGATCCCGGGAAGACTTTTAGGTAAAGCTGGCCCCTATTTAGGTGTTACTAACGTAAATAAAACCCGGAAACTGAATGTTTCCAGCCCGTTGGCCATGCAGTTTCTTACCCACGACAAATTAACTACCCGTGTTTAGTGGTTTTATCCACTCCGCTACTGGAGGGCACTTATTAGAATTAAGAAAGTACCGTTCAGAAATAAAAAAATCCAAGTAGTTAGATGTGGAAAATTAAATACTTATATATTTTTCACAGTGAAACACTTTTCAAGCAATACAGACATGTGCTATATGCTACCTGTTGCAGTAATGATATAGCAAGTCTATTTTGCGCTATATCATTGTCGCAGTAATTAAGTGATTATAATATATATATAAAAAATTATATCCTTTTTTGTAAGAATTATATTTAGATTATTATTTTCTTAAATTTTTGCCAAAAAATGGCACTACATGTAAAGCNTATATATATATATATTGTAACAATTATATTTAGTTTATTATTTTCTTAAATTTTTGCCAATAAATGGCGCTAAGTGTAAAGCCAGCAAATCGAATGTAGATAGAAATGAATTGATTTCTACAAATGTAATCGATGTATTGAAGTGGGGTGTACGACACGATCCAAGT